TTTAAAAAAAAAAAATCCTTTATTCGTGCACATTTCTGCCATATAGGCGTCCATGTTAATTCCCATCGTAAATGTTAATGCGATCAGTGAATTACAAAAGCCGACATTGTACACGCAATTTTGCATAAGTACACGCCATTCTGAACATAATTCCTCACCCACCATTTTTTTTTTTCATTTTACAACACAAAGCCGTACATATCACGCGAAATCCACAACTCACAGTTTTGCACCAAGCACTCAGTTTAGTTGCTGGGCGGCGGAACCTTTGGATTTCTGGGAAATTTGCCTCAGCACACCCTGACTAGAAATAAATAAGTTTTCTGACCTACATTCGTTAGTCCCTCCTCTGGTGCACATAATGCCATCATAGAAACGATTATCCCGAACACTGTCACATAAGGAGACGCTAACAAACTCAGGAAATATTATATAAACAAGATTAAGACACACCTCATCTCTGTAGGTTTTGACTTTCCGTTGTTTGACGGCGCGCCAGTACCTAGACCGGTCATAAGACTTCCAGTTCTACCACAGAAACAAGAATTGACCTCAGAGAGCGGAGCTGACCTCAAGGAACCCACTAGAATCCGATCCAACTTTGCCGAAAGTTTTCTGTGGAGCGACCTGTCCATTGGGTACTTGAACATGGAGGAGTCTTGTTTCCGTTTCCGCTTTTTGTCTGCTTGTGCATTCGTGTTGCCTGACGCTTTATTGGCGTTTATCTTTTTTCATGACTAGTTTTAGACTTGATGAGGCCCTTACCTATATAACACCCTGAGGCCCCTACCGTTTTAACTCACACCAGCTATTCTCAAAAAACAGTACAATATATTTGTCTTTTAAATGCATGGTTTAAGGATATATGTTGTGGTTTAATTTTAGTAAAGGAACTAATACAGAATGTGACTCCAAAATCACAGCAATTATACTAAATAATCTTCTTAAAGGCTATATTAAAAGAACGATTATCACAGGCAACCTTTACTTCCCAGAATATTAGGCTTTACATATTTTAGGCTAGGTCGATTAAGAAGCCCATGACATTTTTTTAAATGTTATGAATGAAGATAGCTTCGAACACATGATCATAGGATGAGAGACACATGTACTAGTTACTTTACAATCCCGGGTCCCTCCTCAGTTACAACGTACGTAGCTCCGGGATATTTAATTTACTTATTTATTTTGTAAAATCTCTCTTAGGTACACTTCAGATTTAAAAAAAAAATTTGAGGGGGGGGGGGGGGGGTGGGAGTGAGAGGGACACCAGTGCCATCACTTCGATATCATGGATGGGATCTAATCAAGTACCTGTGGTTTCTCTCATCAACGTGAATTAGTATTTCTCTTAATCGTCTTCGTTTCCGAAATCCCTTTATCTCATATTTCAGTGCCTGTTTGGTGATTCAATGTTCTTATAACTGTTGATACCAGTGGTTGCCCAGACATTTATCATTTCTTCACTTCTCTCGAATTCATCTCATTTTATTTTCACTTTGCTATAACACCCTGATCATTTTTCTACTCAATCATATATTCCATGAACTAGACGTCTGTCTCTACATCACATGAGCCTATTTTCCCCGCATCATAAAATGTTTGTTTAGTAAGTAAATTAGTTAGTTAGTTAGTTAGTTAGTTAGTTAGTTAGTTAGTTAGTTAGTTAGTTAGTTAGTTAGTTAGTTAGTTAGTTAGTTATTTATTTAGTTAGTTAATTAGTTAGTTAGTTAGTTAGTCAGTATTTCCTCTTATGCTTAGGGCGGCGCATAGGACAGAGGTCATAGCTCTCCATGTCTGGCGGTTCGTTGCCATCTGCTTTAGGTTTTGGATGTTTTTTGAGGCTCATTGTTGAGCCTTTTTTGATAATTGTTCTACTTTGAGTATCTCTTAGTCTTCGACTTTTTCTTGCCCCTTCCGGTGTGCATATCAGGACTTGATGGGGACATGTTGTCTTATCCATTCTGAATTTAGAGCTGTAAATCTGATGAAAAAACAAAGGATGTTTTACGATTGCGCTTTTTTGGGTCGTCGATCAACAGTCTTTAGCCAAGCAAGAAAGAAACACGTCCCGCCATCTTTACCCGAACCGAAAGATTTGCCAGATTGTATTCATTGCTGTGACTAAGCGTTAACAAAGGAACGACACAAACAAAATACTTTGTTTGGTCATGTTGTGAGAAACCGTCAGTGGGAGATGTTGCTCCAGGGGCAGCAGTAACGCACACTTCATCATCTCTGTAGATTGGGAGTTGCAGTTGTTTGATGGCGTCCGACTACCTGGGCCTCCCATTCGGTTACCGGTAACAACTCCACACGAAATGACCAGTGAGAGCGGAGCTGACCTCCAGGAACCAACCAGGATCCGGTCCAATTTTGCCGAGAGTTTTCTGTGGAGCGATCTGTCCACTGGGTACTTGAACACCGAGCAGTCATTTTCCGTTATCTTGTCTGCTTTTGGGCATTGCACGCTTAACTTTTGTTGCCACCTTTCCGTCTTTCCATATGACAGTGTTACATTGGCTGTGGAGGCATGGGAATGACAGTTCATAGCGATGGCGAGTGTTACTAGCAAGACCCGCCCGCGTTACGAAAAGTCTTCTACAGTTATAGCATGGGGTTTCAGGATCGTTGTGATCACCATATCGAAACGTACTTCTTCTCAGATGATCAGCTCTCAGCCTATCTGTAATAATTTATTCCTTAAGTATTAGTCCCCACCAACCCCCCCCCCCCCACCCCACCCACGCTACGCCACTCAGTTTACTGCATTTTGTTGCCACAGATCTACCTCAATACCTGTATCATTCATGTCCCTCTTGCACACATCTTTGCAAACGCGCTTCGTAATGCCGGGGTGCCGGGTTCGATCCTAGCTGCAGTGGATTTGTCTTGAACAATGAGCTAACGGTGCAGAAAGCAATGGCAAACTACTGAACGTAAGATTTACTTAGAAAACCCAAAACAGACAAAAAATGCTGGTGTTGATTCTGCAAAATACTTTCAAGAATATGCAAGTAACTTAGGAGGCCAACACCGTTTACTAAGTCAGTGCCGAATATCATCATATGCGTTTATTAGTCAAATGTGTGGTATAGATCTGTCAATGTCTGCTGTCCCATCTTTCCGTTATTGTAAAGCAAGGGTGATCATCATATTTAAGTCCACCGGCCAAATCTAAAATTACCAACCTGGTCTCAGGGCAGATGGTGGAAAACACTCATTATATATATTTAGAAAAAACCCCATCTAGGTTCACTTGTAACATGATATTTTTGTAGGTTAATCTCAGATTATAATCCGTCGAACGCCTCTAGCCAGACACACTCACCCACCCAAGCCCTTTTTTATATTCCTATATATCTGTCTGTCGGCTGTGTGGTTAAGTCGATGAGAACGCTTCGTATGGCCGGGAGGCCGGGTTCGATCCCAGCTGCGGGTCACGCGCCTTGCGTTGGTTTCGACAGTGGTATCAAGAAAGCCGACTGTCCAGAAGTAATGGCAAATTACTGGATGTAAATTTGCTTAGAAAAACCACACAACAGCCAGGGGCTGTTAGGGTTGGCTCTGCAACGTCCTATAAAGGATAGGCAACCTAACCTCATATGTGTGTCTGTTGAAGCTACTTTTTTTTCCAGAAATCAAAAATTATTTTTAGAGAAGGTTTATGTGTGGGGTGGGGTGTAGGTGGGTGGGTGGGAAAAAAGGGGGCGGGGTGGTGGTGCTAAGAGAGCAAGATTATATAGCAATTTTACACCAGCCTTGCGGTCAAGTCAAAATTGCTCGGTGGGCCAGTTTTGGGCCCGCGTTCCATAGCTGACCCACCCTTGCTTTAAACACATTCTGACCTCTTTATCACTCTTAACTCATTGTTTCTTATTTGCGTCTAACTTCCACTCCGTCACACGGTAAGACTGTTGTACTAAAGTGACACAACTTTGGTAACGACAGCGTTTTGGAAGAAGACCAAAGTTCAGAAGCGGACGAACAACCAGAACTTCACTCCGGAGTTTATAGCTCAGTAAGAAGAACCAGGGGAAGAATAAGAAAAACGAACTAACGAAAGAACAAACTTTATTTTCAAAGGGTTACATTTGGCCTTCCAAACACCCACTTTTCACACAGCAGTTATATTTCATCTATAAAGCATGCTATGTTCATATAATAATATGCATATTTTGAATATAAAGCAAAAATACAAAAGCATTGGTTGTGATATGTCTGAGCACACTCGCACGCGCGCGTACTCACACCCACATACACACGCCCACACACTCATTGTGTGTGTGTGTGTTTTTTTACAGTAAACAAACATTCTAAGGGTGTGTATAATTTGACAGTAAACAAACATGTAAAGTGTGTATAATTGTACAGTTAACAAACATTTTAGACATGTGTGGGATTTTACAGTATACAAATATTTTAAAGTTGTGTATAATTTTAGAGTAAATAAACATTTTAGAGGTGTGTGGGGTTTACAATAAGCGAACGTTTTGGATGTGTGTGCAATTTTACAATAAACAAAAATTTTAGAGGTGTGTGTGATTTTACAGTAAACAAATATTGCATAGGTGTGTGCACATTCTAGGAAACGCAATGAGCAAAGTTCAACAGAAAAACTGAAAGTTTAACAGAAAAAACTGAAAGTGCAACAGAAAAACTAAAAGTTCAACAACAAAAAAATAACTAATAGTTTACCAGAAAATCCCTTGTTTCAGTCTTACCCAAAAGTTGGCTACTGTTTACACGGGAAAAGGGTTGGGGGAGGGGGTGGGGGGTGGGCGCTTCAGTTGCCAAGATTATAACTTCTTTGGAGGTTGAACTGGGTTGTGGTTGCCATCCAGACTGAGATTTGGTCATCTCACGGGGTCAAACCTGCAGGTAGCAGAGCGGACCGGGAGAGGGTTTGAAAAACGGAAAACAACCTTAGAAAGTCTTTACATCTTTTACCTGAATCTGTTAGCGTGCAAGGGGTCTTTCGTTTATTTCAATGCATCTAGACTGGGAGTGGATGAAGCCAATGTTTGCCGGAGCTGCTATGGGCGGCATGGCTGATGGTGCCATAGCCACTAGTGTCAGCCGCCCGCAACTCCCGCCAGCACAGGAAGTGACCACAGACAGCGGAGCTGACCTCCAGGAACCCGCCAGGATCCGGTCCAATTTCGCCGAGAGTTTTCTCTGGAGTGACCTGTCCATTGGGTACTTGAAGGAGTGTATTTCCGTATTTCCGCTTCCGCTTTCTCGGCTGCTTTTGCCCTACGCTTTTTAACGCTTTTAAAATGATGGCTACCTAATCCAATTTATTTGTTAAGATTGGGAGAAGAAGCCTTTTTTTTTCAACAGGGAAAGTGTGCGTAATTATTTCAAATCTGGACAGCCAGTATCTAAGGCCATTCTAGTCTTGTTTATCTACTGATGAACAAGTAGATGACTGAATTTCTCTTTGTGCTGGCTCCGATCGTGCCGTGATGTGTTAAGGAATCTTTATCACCTCTACCAATTGTGTTCGTTTTGCTAATGTTGACCAATGTCTAGCGATAATCTTTTGGGCTCCACCATTACTGAATTTTCTATGTTAGTATTGCACGCTTTGTTAGTTTCTGGACATGAACTACCTTATGAAGTTTATTGTCAGAAAGTTAACAATTTAACACGCAGATCTGTCATACAAACTGCCTTTCTGGCCTCACTCCTTTCATACATTATCACATTCAGAAACCTCTTAACTCTTTCGGTTCCAAGGAGCTCACCGAACGTTCATTCGTTGCTCCTTATATGGTACAAATTCTTTTAATTTGACTTTCCAATTCTTGTTTTATAATAACCCCTTAAGTTTCATCGTTACACCAGCCCCTTCTGTTCCAATGCTGTAATTGTCAGCTAAACACTGCTGCTGTAGGATGCAAAACTGTAATTGTCAACAGTGTAAGGCTAAACATTGCTGCGGTAGGATGCGAAAGCTTTAATTGTCAGCTGTGTTAGGCTGAATATTGCTGCTCTAGAATACGAAAGCTGTAATTGTCAGCAGTGTTAGGCTGAATATTGCTGCTCTAGAATACGAAAGCTGTAATTGTCAGCAGTGTAAGGCTGAATATTGCTGCTCTAGAATACGAAAGCTGTAATTGTCAGCAGTGTTAGGCTGAATATTGCTGCTCTAGAATACGAAAGCTGTAATTGTCAGCAGTGTTAGGCTGAATATTGCTGCTCTAGAATACGAAAGCTTTAATTGTCAGCTGTGTTAGGCTGAATATTGCTGCTCTAGAATACGAAAGCTTTAATTGTCAGCTGTGTTAGGCTGAATATTGCTGCTCTAGAATACGGAAGCTGTATCCTAGATACTGTTAAATTCTAATCTTTCTGTGATTGACTGACTTGATATGTAGAAATAAACATCGTCGACTAAAACTAAATGATAATTATAAACGCTACAGTATGCTGAAAGTATACCTACATTTCTTAACGATAATAGTTCTAGTATTCTCTTTTAATAGCTGTAATAGATCTAGAAGGTGACAGAAGCAGAGTTCCGCAAGTCTTTGTGGGGATGTTGCTTTGGTAGGGGGTACAGAGTCAAGACTGTACAACATTCTCTGTCTGAAAGATGTATTTCGTTGTCAGTGCTTTAACTATTATAGTGCCAGTGTATCACCTTCAAGAGTTTAAACAGTCTTCCACAGGATTCACAGTGCAAACCCCCCTCCCCACCCTCTTTTTTTGTGTGTGAATCAGTCAACCAGCTAACCCACCCTCAAGGCAACCGACTAAATAACCTCCCCCCCCCCCCCCCCCCCCCAACCGCCCGCCCAGTAATCAGTCAACCAACAAAGCTGTCAGTTATATAATGTACATATCTTTGTGCTGTTCGGCTTCTACCCATCTTTTCCGGTACCATGTCTTCGTTAGTATTCTTTCCATTTCACCGTGGTGCTTTGTATAACCAACATTTTTCAGTTACTGAAACAGGCTGCTATTTACCAGCCAATCTTCTTTGTTGTTCAGGTCTTTGAGGCTGTTAGTATTTCTTTTCCCTTTGAATGTCGAGATGTTTAGCAGTACGGAAGTTTATGTACTTTTACTGTTTCTAGATATAAGATGGCCAGTGAGACCCATGTATGCTGCCTCAGCCGTACCTGGACCTCATGTTGTAGAATTCATACCTCAGCCACCGGAAGTGACCACTGAGAGCGGCGGAACTGACCTCAAGGAACCCACCAGAATTCGGTCATATTTTGTCGAGAGTTTTCTGTGGAGCGACCTGTCTATTGGGTACTTCAATAAGGAGGATACTGCTTCCGCTTCCGCTTTCTCATCCGCTTTTATGCTTCATAATTCTCCTCCTCCATTATTATCATCATCAACATCCCGTAGTGCCATCCATTTATATATACAATAAAGCTCATAGTCGATTCCTCCATTTCACCCGGTGCTGAGAACTTTCTCTATAGCGATTTATCCATTTGGTACTTGAACATGCAGAAAACTGTTTCCGCTTTTGCTTTCTCGTCTGCTTTTGCGCACCACTATCATCATCAACTTTATAATCATTATCAATATCATTGTAATCCTTGTGTGCCTTTTATACTCCAAATAAGGCTTGCAGTCGTTTCTCCATTCTGATAATATCCAGTACAGTCCTCTAACTATCGTTTATGGGACCCATGTCAACGAATCCGGCCTCTCTCATCAAAGCTTGACTTTGACTTTTTCATAGGTTCTTCTTCTGCGCTTGCAAACTGCATTGATAATTGACTGACTGACTGACTTTCTACCCGACCAGGACATCACACAAGCGATAAACACTCGATGACACAATGTGCCACCATGTGGGTGAGGATCACCGTGGAGAGGTCCCAGAAAGCGCGTTCAGCCCCTAGGCCATATTTAGGCTATATGTTTACATAAGATAAAGGAGTTCAGTTTTATCGATACGATTATTCGTCTAGGGGCGAGAGTTGCATCGGAGACCTTAGGCCTTACTGAAATACTAATAATATTATTTCTACGTTTTTTGTTGTTATTTCCCGAATGAGCTCCGCGGTGCCATCATTATGGATAGCACTTAGGTCCCTTTGCAAATGATAATTTTTTTAGGCCGGGCTGGGGTGGGGGCAAAGCCTCTAAGTTCCGGCACCTGTAGTGCATACTTTCTTCCATGGTTTATTATCAGACTGTCTGGCGTCTTATCTACTAGCCTTATCTTGTTCTCTTCTTCTCTAGCTTCACTGTTGTCCTGGTGTACGCAACATTTCCCAATTGGATCATGTGCCCATAGAATGCGGATTGTGTCCTCTCTGACGGTTAACAGTTAACATTTAGCCATAGGTTAAAACTCAGTAGCCATCGCTTTTGTAACCGGAAAAATCCGAACTTTCATTTCCTGGACTTCCTGGACAGTGTATCCACGTGTAATGTTGACGTACTGAGGAACGGTTTCCGCTCATGCCACATTTGTCCACTATGAACCTTCCGCAGTACCGACTGAAAATCAATCCCTTATAATTCCTCTGTTTTCTGCTATCCACTTCAGAGCTTGAAGCTTAAGATTTAAAAAAAATACAATCATTTGTGTACACTAGCACATCATCTAGCCCAGCCTTTCCATCTATCAGTTGTTGTAACTCTCATTCTGCAAAAAACGTTACACCACTCTCTACATTCTCTTTCTACTGTTTTGTTTGCGTTCCCCGGCTGTGAACTTCTGTGGAAATTCTTGGTTGTTCGTCCACATTGACTTTGCCTTGTGCCGGAACCCGAGTGTTGCGTGTACATCCGTTTTACTGGCTTATTTGCGTGCAGGATGTTGTTCCTGCCCTCTCAAGCAGATATTTTCCAACTTCGAAGAAAGACGTCGATCCTACATGTACGATGACAGTAGCCATTCTTCCGTTCCACATGACGTAACCTTATTTGTGTGGTTCCCTGGGACATGACGTAGCCTTATTTGTGTGGCGCCCTGCGACATGACGTATCCATATTTGTGTGGCGCCCTGCAACATGACGTAGCCTCATTTATGTGGCGCCCTGCGACATGACGTAGCCTTTTTTGTGTGGTACCCCTGGACATGACGTAGCCTTATTTATGTGGTGCCCCGGGACATGACGTAGCCTTATTCGTGTCGTGCCCCGGGACATGACGTAGCCTTTTTTGTGTGGTACCCCTGGACATGACGTAGCCTTATTTGTGTGGTGCCCCGGGACATGACGTAGCCTTATTCGTGTCGTGCCCTGGGACATGACGTAGCCTTTTTTGTGTGGTGCCCCAGGACATGACGTAGCCCTATTTGTGTGGTGTTCGTTAGTGATTTAATATTGTCGTTCTAAAGGCTGTAATATTTTTGAATGTTATTTACTTTTACCGTCGTCGTCTTTAGCTTAGTCGATGCCGATGTGCTTTGTAATCCAGAAATACTCGATACGATTCTATCTGTAACCTAAGGGAAGCAGACCGTATAACCTTGATTTTGACAATAGCACTATGTGTGAGTGTGTTTGTGTGTATTTGTGTATATATATATATATATATATATTATCGTATAATAATACTTTAGCGTCGATCATTGAGGGGCACTGCGAAACTGCTGAAGGTAAAAACCTGCTTAGTAAGATCACTAGCAGTCACATAGCACAAACAACACTTGACAGTCATCACATCTTGCTTAGCAACATAAAGAGAATATCACGTACGTAACATTCTTGACATCCTTAACAACAATATTGGCTAGTTACAAAACAACTGGGCGGTTATTGGAATTGCTATCACAATTTTGAGGTTTTCATTTGAAGTCCCTCGTGTGTAATATTTCTAGCATGGGAATGGCTGGCAATGGAGAACATGGTCGCCGATGATGGCCGGCCAGTACCACGTCCACAAGAAGTGATCCCTGACGGCGGAGCTGACCTCAAGGAACCCACCAGGACACGGTCCAATTTTGCCGAGAGTTTTCTCTGGAGCGACCTGTCCATTGGGTACTTGAAAACGGGAGAGTCTTGTTTCCGCTTCCGCTTTGTCGTCTGCTTTTGCTCATTTGATCTGTAACGCTTAACTGACTGACTGAGTTTCTACCCCACCAGGACATCACACAAGCGATAAACACCCAATGACACAATGTGCCACCATGCGGATAAGGATCACCGTGGAGAGGTCCCAGAAACCGCTTTCAGCCACCAGGCCATATTTATGGCCGGGCTATATTGCGGCC